ATAGAATAGAATAGAATAGAATAGAATAGAATAGAATAGAATAGAATAGAACAGAATAACTTTATTGTCACTTTGAATGTACACTAATTGACATACATTAAAATGAAATTTCGTTGCATACAGCTCTCAAAAGGTCACCATCTCCAATATACACTACATAAACATGACAAAATGCATGCATGCATGCATACATACATACATACATACATACATATGCATATACTCATACACACGACATGGAGAAACAACGCCATCTGGTATGAATTTATACATGTATATGGCAAGAAAAAAATCTTATCAATTAGGAGCTGATCATTTGTTCCTTTGTGGTTTATTTTCTGTTCAGGTGGAAAGAGCTCGTTTTTAAGTAGATGCTGTTGGACTGCATTCAGCTACAGGTAGTCCTCGGTTTAGAATTGTGTCTTCTGTTTTCTAGGCCAGCACTTTGACCACTAGACCGGCTCCGACATCTATCTAATCCATCTATGTAGCCACTTAATTGTCATGTCATCAGAGTTTAATTAGCACGACATGGAAAGTTTCTTTCAGATCTGTCAAAAAAATCAAGTTAAATTATGATTACTGCATTCCCACAATCTGTTAGAGAAATTATTTTTTAAAAAAGTTAGTCTGGATAGTTAATTGTCTGATGAGTAAGTTTCAGTCTGCTAGAGAAACCCATGCTGATTTGTAGTAATAACTACCTCGTTTTCAAGGTACTTTTGGATTGGTCTTTTTATACCCTGTTCCATAATCTTCCCAAATATCATCCTTTTTAGAATACAGAAACATTGACCTTCCTTGTTTACCTATTAAATTATATTTTGTCTTTCTAAATGAAGAGCTTAACCTCCTTTTATTTTCCATACACTAAGCATAGTATATAGATAATAGTGGTCATTAATGTTATAAATCACTGTTTCTGTTTTTTTTTTAATCGAGTGGTTTGAGATACTTCATTTCAGCAGCAATTCTTTTTCTGAGATCTGTATTTTGGACTTAATAACTTTGGTGAACCACTTTATTTAATGGCATTACATTTGTAGATAGGAGAAAAATAATTTCTTGTGAGTTGTTACTTGAAGGAAAGGGAAAGAGCCTCTTTTTTCTTTCTAACTGCAAACACCATCAGAAAGTTGTTATCCTATGGAGTGAATTGTTTGGAAAGCTAAACACGCTTTGATCAACCTGAGTAACAGGAAGGATTGCTTCAAACAAATAGCTCCTAGCTTCTAAATTATGCTAATATTAAGCCTTCCAAATGCTGTAGTTATTTCACAGAGAAACATGTGGGAATTGCGTTTGTGGTTTGTGAATATCATTCTGGTTTTTTTTTTTCCAAAGCCTCTTTGTCTTTGTCTGTATCTTGTGATATATGGACTGCACAAAAGAGACTTTACAATCCATAAAGCAAGAACTCAAAAACAATCTTACACCTTCTGCTATGCTCTGTTTACAGGTAGTCCTCCACTTAGGACCACAACGGACCCCAAAATTTCTGTTGCTAAACAAGATTCAGTTGTGTTGGAAGAAATAGCCTTCTGTGTTCAGTTCCAAGTGGGGGAAAAGACACTGGAAACATGGAGGCTGTTTGGAATGATGGTTTAATGGTGGGCAGGATTACATGCCTTAGAGATCCAAAGAAGGAAGGGCTGATATGCTGAGTGTGCCTGGTTTTATATCTTCTGTTGGGATTTGAATTTGAGCTTGTATTTTGATTGGTTGTCAGACTCCCATGGGGCCATGCAGGGGCAACTCTATAGGCTGTCCTGAGATGATGATGTAGTGAAAGGGCTTTGGGCAATTCCTATAGCTCTACCTGGAGTAGATCTTTGTTATGTAGAATAGACTGGCTTAGGCTGGTAATGGCCTATTAGCAAAGGTGGGGGTGGGGCTGAGTTTCTGTTTCTGAGGTGAGTTTCTGCTTCTGAGTTTCTACTCTTTTTAGGGGAAATATTCTGCCTTTTTAATATTTCCTAGGATATTTCATTTTCCTAGGAGAGGGTGGGTAATAACTTCCTACAGTTGTTAACTGAAGTTTGCCTCATTTTACGACCTTTCTCGCCATAAAGCCCATTCACCTTTTGAAAAAGCACCTTTGGCAGAACCATGACCTGGATGACCGAGAATCTCCATAGACAAGAAATCAGTAGCGTTTATCAAGCTTGAGGAGAAAAATGAAAAAGCTACTGACTTCCTGAAGTATGGAAGCACTTGTAAATCTTTTCCCAACTTTCAAGAGCACCAAAGTTGATATAAACCAGGGCTAAGTCAGATCCGGAGTCAAGGAAGGAACAGGATCTGTAAACACTACAAATGTATGCTACCAGAGATATTTTTGAACCTCTACACCTGTTCCCACGTCTTTGTCTTTCCTAGAGTATTAAATTTAAATGCCCTGTTTTTCTAGAATTAAAAAGTTACACACAGGTAGTCCTAGATTTACAAATATTCATTTGGTGGCTGTTCAAAGTTCCAGTGACACTGGAAAAACCAATGTGGGACCATTTTCACACGACCATTCCAGCATCCCCATGGTCACATGATCAAAATTCAGATCCTTGGCACATCACATGATAGTTGTACTGTCCCATGTAACCTTTTGTAACCTTCCCAACTGGCTTTGGACGAGAAAATCAACGGGCAAGCCAGATTTGCTTAATGACCACACAATTCACTTAGTAACTATGGGGAAAAGTTCATGAAACGGGGTAAAACTCTCTTAACAAACTGCCTCATTTAGCAATGGCAATTTTGGTCTTAACTGTCGTCATAAGATAAGGACTACTTGTAAAAAGCTCCGGGTTTCAAGTTTTACTTCTTTGCTTTAATCTTTGAAGAATTTGACCCATTCCCTAGTGGCACTTTTGAAGGTCTACAAAGCTCACTTTTATAAAGGTTGCAAATGGATGGAGAATATAAGGCATTTTTGACAACTAATATGTTGGTGTAATGAAAGGAAACTGTTAGCATATTTTTCATTTTTCCACAAGGAGATTTTGGTGGGTTCCGCAGAAAAAAAGTAAGGCTGGCAGTTGAATTAGAAATATTAACATTAAGCCTTGGTTCATTTTTTTAAATTTGTTTGTGGTAGGTGGATATACTTTTCAGCCACCGAGTGTCCTAAAATTGTGGCACAAAGTCAGAATAAATGCCCAACTTACTGTGATAGCAGGGACGATGGGAAATTTCATGAAGAAAAAAGGGCTAAAGAGTGGGAAATATCCAAGCTCTTTAGCTTGAATTGTGGTTCTGGATTAACTTATATCTGTAGTGTACTAGCTTTTTCTTTCTTGCTGTCCAAACACAGCAAGTGTTTGTTTTGTGAACTACTTTGGAAGTGTCCTGCTTGCAAAATAAATATGACCTTTATAGAATCCAATTTCTGAGAAAAACTCTTTATAAACTATTTTTTGTTTCTTACCTCTGCAAGGCAGAGCCTATAGCAGAGGTCTCCAAACTTGGCAACGTTAAGACTTGTGGACTTCAACTCCCAGAAGTCCACATGTTTTAAAGTTGCCAAGTTTGGGGACCTCTGGTCTACAGCTATGTTTCTTAAGCCTGGCTTAAAGATGTATGGACTTCAACTCCCAGAATCCCCCAATGTGCACATCTTCAAGTTGCCAACTTGAAAAACATTGGCCTGTACTAAATTGGCACCCCTGTTTCATAAAAACAGGACGATGGATTCCTATGAAAACAATATAATTGTTTTTTTTTCCTTCCCTTCCCCTCCAGCTTGTTTTCATTGTTGTCCAAAAAGCACAACAAGGTTTTGGAACAGGCCACCCAGTCTTTGAGAAGTTCCCTGTCTGCTGCTGATTCCCCACTTCCAGATTACGTGAGTATCGAAATATAATCTTTTAAGGAAGAAGTCAAAATACATCCCCTCGGTTTGCACGAGTCTGTTCAAAGACTGTGACAGCCTAGCAACAACCATCACCAAAATATAGGAAGTTTGGCTGGTGACATCATGTCTGAAACTCACTAAAGATACTTTAAAAAAAAAACGTTGCAAATGGCAAAATGAGAACCATGGTGATTTTTTAACAAACACTTTACTTTAGTTTTCCTATCTTGAGCATTTGCAAGTGGTTTCCATTGCAATGAGATTGTCAAGGGAAGGAAGAACACAATGGATACAGCATGATAAAAGAGTGAAGCATGCCCTTTAAACAAACCTCTGTCCCTAGCTAGCAAAAGGAGAGGTTTGGTTTCCAATTTAGCATCAAGAATCAATTTGCGTCATGATTATGGCACCAGGCTAGAAACTGGAAGGCTATGAGTTTTAATCCTACCTTTGGGCCAGTCATTCACTCTCAGCCCTAGGAAGGTGGCAGCGGCAAAACCACTTCCCAAAATCTTCAAGAAACTGTCCAGGCATATACCAGGAATCAACATTGATTCGAAGACACGGGGGACGGGGGGGCGGGGGTTCACCCATAATAATTAGTGTTCTTCATCAAAGCAAAAGGCAGAAATTGTATAAAATAACATGTATTAAAAATTAAATATAGCAATCTTAGCTCTTGGATATTTTGCAGCTTTAATTAATATATTGTTGATATGTTTATTAAATCCAAAGTAATGAAATAGGTTTTAATCAACGTAGACATTGAGCAAAGGGGTTGGTTTGCGTGGCCCCTTTCCAAAATTATGATTTTATGTACTTGGCTTAGTGAATTGGATTTTTTTTTTTCCTCCAAAGAAATTATTTTAAATCTTAACATAATTCAGTAGCATCTTTATTAATTCTAATGCGCTTTAAAATAATGTTTTTGCATGATTAGAACGTACATCCCATTAAATGATTATAGTACCGTGAAAACATCTGTTTATAAAGAGCATTCCAATGCATGTTTAATGCACATCTTATAGTCCGTGCCATGTTTTAAAAAAAATATGTAAAAATTATAAAAATTATGTATGTTGTAAATTCTATGTTGTTTCCTGAATCAGGTTTTCCAAGTCTGCTTAACATAACATTTTAATAAATAATCATGATGCGTTACTCTATTTGTTTGTAGGGAACAAATTACATTCAGATTTTTTTAAAAAAAGATTGGTTTCATTTTTCTTGGTACCTGTGGATTTAATATCATGCTAGCCTTGAAAAAGGGAAATGAAAGAAGAAAAGGGAGGTCTGGTTGATGAAAATGCTAAAATAGAATTTAACCTCAGTGGTTGCTCTTTCTGTCTAGCTCCCATCAAGACTAAAATCACAAGTGCTGTTCTTATAAAAGTATATTTTAAAGGCAAGATTTGGTTCAGAATCTGCTTTGACGCTTCTGGAAATATCTTAATTCATCTCAGCCTTGCTTTTATAAAACAAGCACTGATCCAAAATAAATCTTGCAAGTGGCTGACTTAGCAAAAACTCTGCAAGTTTATCCATCCCATTAAAGTTATGATTTGAGAATGGATTGTTTTATTCTCTATATCTGATGAGAAGGCTTTATTTTATAAAGATGCAAAGCTGTAGCACGGTATTGGATGCCTAGATTAAAACGCAATTGTTAAAAATGATTACACGCATTTCTTTCTTAACTCTAAATTGCAATGAAATCATTAGTTTTATTTGGCAGGGAGGGGAAGAGTTCCACCCAAATGTATTTATTTATCATTTTCAGGGAGTCATGGAACTGCAGAGTTTGAATCCCCTGACATATTTCATAGAAGGATTCCTAAGTAGGTTTTTAGAAGGAAAAACAGCCAGTGGTAAGCCGTACTGAAATCAGATTTAACAGAACAGAATAACAGAGTTGGAAGGGACTTTGAAGGTCTTCTAGTCCAACCCCCTACTCAAGCAGGAGACCTTATGCCATTTCATTGTCCGATCTCTTCTTAAAAACCTCCACTGTTGGAGCACCCAGAACTTCTGAGTTCCACCCAGTTCCACTGATTAATTGTTCTAACTGTCAGGGAATTTCTCCTTAGTTCTAGGTTGGTTCTCTCCTTGATTAGTTTCCATCCATTGCTTCTTGTCCTGCTTTCAGGTACTTTGAAGAATAGATTGGTCCCATCTTCCTTCTGGCAGCTCCTCAAATATTGGAACCAGTTATCGTGTCACCCCTAGTCCTTATTTTCATTAGATTAGACATCACCAATTCCTGCAATCATTCTTCCTATGTTCTAGCCTCCAGTCCCCTAATCAGCTTTGTTGCTCTCCTCTGCACTCATTCTAGAGTCTTAACATCTTTTTTATATTGTGGCATCCAAAACCGTATGCAGTAATCCAAGTGTGGCCTTACCAAAGCACTATAAAGTGGCATTAATACTTCACACGATCTTGATTCTGTCCCTCTGTTAATGCAGCCTATGACCTGCCTTGGCTTTGTTTGATGGTTGTTTGATGGTCTAAATGCATCCGAATAGATTATACTATTTGAAATAGTTTGAACCAAGGTACCGTTTTAATTTCCAAACCTTTCCCTAAAAATGTAATATTGGAGACTTCTAAGACATGATAGATATGGTGAGCTGCAGGGATGGTTTTATCACAAAATCCTTTCCTCCTTTGAGAATGAAGGAAGCATACTTGGTTGCAAGCAAATATTCACTTTTAACCCCATTCACACAGCTTTCTGTTGGCTACTTATTGAAGCCAGGGAAGGGGAAGAATTGGGGACTAATGCACATCTGTAAGCCAAAAAAATATCTTATGCTTGTTGTGATCCGTTGAACGTTTAGGTCGGCATGGAAACAAGGAAAGTGTTATTCGTATAGTTCACAACAATCTATTAAGTTATGTGTTTATTTATTTGGGAGTGGGCGTGGCCAAATGCAGCAAATTAGCCCACCCCTTGAATGATTTTCTGCAAATATGAATGCAGTGGAAAAGAATAATATAGTTGTGCCCAACCACAGAGCATGCCTTGAGATGAGCTGGAGGCTGTTTATTCAGACCGTTCCCAAGTTTTCCATCCACGTGAATCTTTGTCCTGCTCATTGCTTCCCCTCCAGTTCCCAAGTTTGGTTTTTCTTTAATGAGAGAGGTCATTCAGAGGCAGTTTTATCAATGGCTTGGATCAGTTTCACCTTCCAAAGGTCAAGTGCGGCTTTGAAATATTGTTTGCCAAGATTGCAGGAAAGCCCCAAGGACTGCCAGGAAACCTTTCAGGTTCTCCAGTCTTCAGGATCTTACACAGAAAAAATGAATGAAGCAACTCAACGCCGCAGTGTATTTACTTGCATGCATTTGACGTAAAAAGGGTGTTTGCTAATTCAGAGGGAGTCATTCATTGGAATTACTCTTTTAAGTAATTTTGAGTAACCTCTTTTAAGTCTTTTCAAGTTACTTGTAGCTGCGGTAGACAGGCTGAGCCACTGGTCCCTTCAGCGATTAAGCCCAACCTCGAAAGTGGTTTGTCTTTTCCTGCCTGAAGCCCAAAGATATCATAAAAAGCTTTTGTCAGAATTGAAGCACAAATGGATCGCTTTGTAAACTTGGTGACTTGCACCTGGGAAGGGATTTAATGAGAAATTCCCAGACAGCTGCATTAAATAAAATTATATGATGGTTGTGATACATCTATGAACATGGTTGATTTCCCTTCTTCTTTTTTTAATCTTTTCTCCTTACAGCATCCTTAGACAGGAAAAGTGGTTACCTGTTACCTGTCAAAAGCATTTAGTATCTTTCCCTGGAATCAAAACTCTAGATACAGGTAGCCCTCAACTTAAAGCAGTTCATTTAATGACCATTTGAAGTTACAACAGCACTGGAAAAAAGTGACTTACGACCGTTTTTCAAACTTACAACCCTTGCTGCTTCTCCATGGTCACGTGGTCAAAATTCGGACGCTTGACAAGGGGCTCATATTTTTTAAAATGAGGCGCGGTGGCACAGTGGTCAGAGTGCAGTACTGCAGGCTACTTCTGCTGACTGCCGGTTGTGTGCAATTTGGCAGCTCAAATCTCACCAGGCTGAAGGTTGACTCGGCCTTCCATCCTTCCAAGGTGGGTAAAATGAGGACCCAGATTGTTGGAGGACAATAGGCTGACTCTATATACCGCTTAGAGAGGGCTGTAAAGCACTGTAAAGCGGTATATAAGTCTAAGTGCTATTGCTATTTGCAGTGTCCCAGGGTCAATTGATCCCCTTTTGCGACTTTCTGACCAGCAAAGTCAATGGGGAAGCCAGATTCACTTACCAACCGCGTGACTAACTTAACTACTGTAGCGATTCACTTAACAACTATGGCAAGCAAGGTCATAAAATGGTGCAAAATTCACTTAACAACTGTCTTGCTTGGCAACAGAAATTTTAGGCTCAATTGTGGCTGTAAGTTGAGGACTGCCTGTAATTTCATATAGGTCGTTGTTGGGTGAGATGCTGTCCTCTTTTTTTCCAGCTAATGCTCCATCAACAGCTGATGAAAGCCCCCTTCTCCAGTTTAGATTCATCTTAGATTTGCCTACGGTAAATAGAAAGCAGCTGCCAGTTTCAGCATCTAACTCTTGGAGAGAGAGAGAAAAAAAAAATCCTTAACCCCCTCAAGCATCATCTGGAAATGATATAGCTGGTAAAACAAAGCTAAGAAGAAAAGGCAATGTTTGTTTTATGTGGGATGAATGACTTTAGTTGGGGTCCTTCTAATTTGGCCATTAGGAGGGTTATTAAAAAGGAGTATTACAAAGGTGGTTTCCAGAAAAAAGATTGTTTTTGTTGTATCTTGTTATTATATTTGATTATAGCCAAAGCAAGGAGTTCTTTATAAATAGCCCTTCATTTCATTCCCCCAGCAGAGAAGCAAAAAGAAAAAAGAAAAAAAAAGTAATCTTACTGTCTTCATGCATTGGTAGATGCTAAATTGCTCCCTTACATTACTTTAGTTCCTT